TTAAAAACTGGTAAGCATTCATGATTTTGTCCAAAAAACTAGATGGCTCCTAATATAAAATTATCTATTGGTTACATTGGTCACCTGTACTTCCTCCATTTTCCTTCTGAACAGCAATTTCCACACACTTAACTTTAAGAAAATACTTTCGTAAAAATACCGCATCCGAACTTATTGACGATCTGCGACACCGCAGGTCATGGGTTTAAACCGAGATTTTAAATGTCGCCCATGCGCATGTCGAATGGACCTGCTAATTGTTTCTTCTCAGAGGCAGGTTCTTTAGATCTCTAGTAGCTATTTGACTCTAAGCTCTAATTCCTGGCTAAATCGATATTATGGATATCGGTGGACCCGTATTGAGTCTCCGTTCATGTCCGATTGCGCTAAAAGGTTCTCCGAGGGCACTAAGAAGTCGTTCTACTTATAACCCCAGCACCATTGCGACCAATCCGGTCTACATTTTTTTTTATAAAAGCGTCTCGGGCGGATGCTGTCTTTTGCTTCCTTCAAACTCACTTGTTTAATTGACTATACACGAGACGTTTTTTACAAGAGACATTTTCAAACCACTAATTCCCAATACCCCAAAGGCAATAAAACTGTAAAGCTCTAAGCAAATTTCTTAAAAGGAAAATTAATAAAACCTTTTTATTTTTGTGAAATAAAAAGAGTCTGGTTATTTATAAACAGACTGGGACAAAAATGTTGTCGTGTACTACACTTCACGCAGGGCATCAAATAAGCATATAAAATGTGACTCATGTTGAGTGCTCTATTAGAATTAAACATTTTTTTGTTAAATGTAGTATATGGCCACAATGCGCCATGATCTATACGAAACAGATGAGACCATTGGAAATTCATTCAATTTTTATATTCAATTCAAATATCAGTTCGTTTTCTGGTTTTGTGCAAAAGTACCTTTTTTAGCTAGCTAATACCATTCTTTGACCAATATGGGGCTTGTTAATTTATACAGGCTGTCCTATCTATTCACAATCACAAAAATCTTAAAATATGGGCACATTATAGTCTACTTAGGAAAATAATTTATTAAATAAATCTTTTTTACATGGAGTTAAGTTCTGAAGAAGCCAATAGGATGATTCGACTCAATAACTACCGACGCAGGTTGAATCCAGAAGTTTTGTAAATATAATTATAGTAGCCTGTGAAAATTTCTTTGAAAAATGTTATTTTAATTATACCTATTGTAGTTTCCGACAACTCCAAGGACATTTTTGAACTGTATCTTCAAAGAAAAAGAGCTTCTTATGAAATTAAAGGCCAATGTTCTCAATTAGGATAATTGTTATTTAATATTAATCTAATGACATCCATCAACAGAGCAATTTGTTTTGTAATTGGATTTGATACCGGTAGATAAACCCCAGAACACAAACATGAAAGTTATATGAAACCAAGGTCGCCATTAGAAAGAAACTTAATATTTTTTCCACCAGAGATCTCATTGAATTGTAAAATCGGTAATTGTGATTGTATTGTTTTATTTAAACTGTTGCGTTCAAATGGCGAAGGGTCCGATCAGCGTGATTTAATTTCGTATTCCAAAAGACCTTTCCATAGTCAAAGCGACCGACACAACATACCGAAATTGAGTTTTCCGTCACCGCAATTCGTCGAAAAAATACGCAATTCTCATCGATTAGTTTTAATAATAATTGCTACTTCCATCACAAAGGCTTTTAGAGAACGTTTTCGGGAATTTATTCTCCTATGATGGTGCTGATGGCAGTAAACGCGTAAAAATGTTTAGCTTTTGAACCTTTATTGACGTTATTGGTCGCTCTGTTGTCAGTTGTTGCGTGTCAGAGCAATATCTGCCTATGAAATCCATTTCATCGTGTTTAAATTGTAATGCTGGTGTTTTGCAGAACGAGAAGCGTTATCGTAAACAAAACATGTTATATTAATTTGGTCTACTCCAGAGGCCGATAATTTAAATACTTTGCATCGTGCCTTCAAACTAGCAAAATAAAAGTACTTCTTCTGAAATTTAGAGCCAATTAAATATTGTAGACGCCCAAGTATATATACATCGCGTTTCTTTGTAAAGCTGGTTTGTTGGGGAAGTTGCAAAAATAATGTCGCAGTTTTTCTAATATGTAAGCTGTAAAGCATAACAGGAAATCTCTTTTTAGGAAAATTGTTATTTAATGTTTCTCTAACAGCATTCATCAAAAGAGCAATTTTTTTCAAAGAAATTGGTGGTATGGTCTGTTCATAGATATAAGAAAGTGACCAATTGCTTTTGAATGGGATTATCCAAGGGTGGTCATTAACATACAATGCAACAAGATTATTACCTAAAGTTTCGGAATTTAAATTCAGGTAAAATTGTGGTCCGTAATAGAAAATAATTTTATACCCCCCTGTGTTTAATATTCTTAGTTTAAGTTTATTAGTAATCATTCTTATTTCGTGAGTAATACAGCGTGTGTTGAATCGTGTGCGAATTATGCAAAATATGTGCTAGTCTAGTGTATCTTAGGAGATGCTCCCACCCAAATGTAGAAAAGACTATTCTATTGAGACTAAGGAAGTTATAAACAATGTTTATTTGACTCTCATTGAACGTGGTGCCAGCAAGGAAGCATCTTTAGAAGAAACGGCCACATTGACGAAAATTCCAACATCAACTGTATGGAAAATTTCATTTCATTTCAGCGAGGAAAAAAAGAAGCGATGCTGACATTTTCTCGAGTGTAGATGAAGGTGATCAAGATATAAGACAGCGTAAAATTTACCAGCTATACGAGGAACAAAGCGTGCCTACATTAGATATCTTAATTAGGAGGCTTGAAAAAGATGAAACCGGTGTTAAATGTGGTAGAACTACCTTATGAAAGTGTATTCAACACATGGGTTTTAGATTTAAAAAAATTAACAAATGGCAAGTTTTAATGGAATCTTTTAGAATTCGGAAATAGCGACTGGGATATCTAGAAAAAAATAGGATTTACAGAGAACAACAAAGGCCACATAATTTTAAGTAATTTAAGTAGGTAATAAAAATAATTTGTAATTTTATTTTAGATTTCAACATAAATAAATAAATATTGTATTGTAGTATCTTTCCTAACAAAACCCCAAATAATTAAATTCAAAGCAAAGTACGGACCTGTTCGGTCATATTTCATTCTTACAGCTTGCCCGGGTCTTTCCTTAATTCGTATCAGTTAGTCATTTTCTTATGTCTATGAACAAACTTTAAATCCTTTACGGACTCAATCATAAGTTGTGCAATCCAACTTTACCCACGGAAACAAATCCAATCTACAGCATCGGCTGCTAGGACCCTTAGCTGTTAATCTCCATCGCATACACACGTTCTGTTCCTTTTTCAAGTTGTTTTCAAAAATCGGTTTTAGTTTGTGTTATTGTCTTTGCAAACCATACATTCGAGGAGGTTCACCGTTGAGGAGATGTTTGTGGGTAAGGATTGTGCTTCCAGTCTGTGTGCTCATACTTTGCCGTCACTTCTGGAATAGTTTTTCGAAGCAAGATGTTACATCCAATCCAGATGCTTTGCCTGTCCTGACGGATTTTTTCATTAACCAATTGTCTGAATTGTTTTCTTCTTGGTTACAAGTTGTTTGCAGTTGTCACCTGCATCATCATCTATCAGTTCCATTAGTACTCTCTATATCTCATTGTCAAAGGACGGGTAATACTTCTTCGATTGTAGTAGATCTTTATATCGGAGAATAGGAATTCATTGTTGTGCTTTTACAGTAGTTTTATGTGTTGTCATTGCCACTTTTTTTCGTAGGTTTCGTTTCATCAATCCAGATCCATAGTAGAGGCTCTGGACTTGTGTTGATGGAAAAGCACCTAGGCAATATCTAATTCCCAAAGTTTGAATGCGATCTAGTAGATCTAACAAGCTTTTTCACGCAGATTGAGCGCTTTGTAAATTTGAAGTAACTCTAAAGATATTTAGCAATTAGTTTTGTAATTGGATTTGATATCGGCAAATATTTCCTTTATTGTTGAAACCTCGGATGAATCCATCGTGAACGACACCAAACGAACTATTATTTAACCAATACCAACCTAAATCATGCGACGCAAACATGAAACTCACATAGTACATTAATGTTCTTTAAACTGTTGAGTGCCTACAGCAAAGGGTGCGATTGAATATCGTACTCCCAATAGTATATTATGCAACAGTGCGGTAAACGGCATTTGACTCAAAGTTTATTTGACACGAGCGGAGCGAGTGTTTAATAAACTAGTGACTTAAAAAGTTTTGCGAACGTGTTGCATACTATACTTTTTCTACAATCGTTAGTTTTTGGGTACATTTTCGTAAAACAACACGAATACATTCACTGACATGACCGTCACAATTGACAAATGTCAAAATTCAAAGCGTGGGAAATATCTTCGAAAACATCCGATTGCTCCCAAATCCGTGCGGTAAAATCCCGGAAATGTCCGAAGTGGCTCGGATTCGTGGGAAAGGATACTGACTTGGTAAAGTGACGCTTCCCGCACGCTAGATCAGTGGTTAATTAGGTATTTTACAGACGGGAGTAGAAAAAAACTTTTTCGTCGTCAAAGCGACCTACGCGACGTACCGAAATTGAATTTTAAACCACCGCATTCGTGGAAAAAATATGCAATTTTCATCGAGTACTTTTAATAATAATTGCTACTACTATCACAATGGCTTTTAGCGAAAGTATTGAGATCGCGCGGTAATGTACCAAAGGCGCGCAAGCGTTTTTGGGATACTCCGGCGGGATACGCTTTTGGTTCCCGGGAATACAAGCTCTCGCAGTTCGCATTTCCTTTGCGCCCCCAACCTCACGGAGAAATCAGTTCGAGAGCGTATTCGCGAAAACTTGTAAAATCAACAGGTTTATTTTCTTATGCCCGTCCGATCCACGTCGTCGTCGTAGTTCCACGATCACGTTTTCGTTCGCGCGTAGATCAGCGGAAAATGTAGACATGTAGGAAGCTATTGTAAAACGTGTCGTGGTAAAAAAAACTTTTGTGTATCGCGTTTCCTAGCGACTTAACGGATGGTTTTGTATTCTAGTAAGTTTATTGGCCGTAGTTGTAATGATCCTTATTGTCCATTAATTTTGACTAATTAAAAGCAAAACCAAAATGCTCCGGTGCGTAGGAAAACGCTGCGAAATTTTCCAGGATGTTCCGTAAATTTTCCTAAATTTTAATTTCACGTATTTCATAAAGTTCAATGGAAAAAGTGCTATTTGATTTTTAGGTTTTCTATTAACTTACTTAGCTATCTGCATTAAAACTTTGCGGTTTTGTTTTACTTTTTGCTGTGTTTGTTTTAGTCGTTGAAAAGATGCAGAGAATCGTAATTTTCTTAAAACCAAAATAATTATAATTTTCGAAGCTGAGAAATGCTAATTCGGTTTCAGTTTAATGAAGAATTATTTTTTTGCAGGTACACTTCTTCTGGGTATCTCCTGCGTCGTGTGTTGAGTCTGGCTCGCTGAAATAGTTTGAGACAGCGAAGCTCCAGCGAGACAGAGGCAATACGTAACGCAGGAGAAATCTAAAAGAAGTATACCTACAAATCCATGCGGAAGTTTCATGGAAAAATATTTTTTTATCTTGTAAAGCTGAGCCTCCTTTGATTTTATATTAGGAAAGAGTTATTGTTCAATATTGATGTCTCAAATCTTTTTATAGATATTGGTTTTTGAAAATTTTTGGTTTGGTTTTTGGTTATTCATCTCTAATGAAAATTGCTTTAATATTTTTAGCGATATAACTTTTTAAAAACTTACATTTTCCACAAAAATTTTTGAACATTAATTTTGACTTCTAAAACTAATCCTCTTGCTTCGCTTGTATATATTATATAGCCGTCGTTAAGTTTAGAACTTTCCTCTGAACCATAATCCAGAAAATTATAATTAATATTTATATTTTTCTATTAAAAAAAATTCTCAACCTGTCATTACTTTCTGATAAAGGCCAGGTAAATCTGAACATTGGTAATCACTGCTGCACACGAAGGACCATAGTAAATTATCCTTAAATTATTTTTTTTTATTTTAGAAAGCCTGGTTAATTTTAATAAAAAATCGACATTTCAGTAAAATAGGTGTCCAGTTTAAAGACCAATAAAAAGGGATGTATTTGAAATATAATAAATGGTGTTAAAGGAAAAAAAAACAATGTCGATTACATTTTCTGTTTTTTCATTGTTTAATGTTGTTCGATACTGAATCTTAACTGTATCTCGTAGGTAATTGTCTTTAAATTTTTGTAAAACCTACGAAACTTTGGTTTGACGTAAGAAAATAAGATTAAATTAGAAATTAATTAAATTAAATTAAATTGAATTAAATTTTTGTAAAAGCTACGAAACTTTAGTTTGACGTAAGAAAATAAGATCAGCGGCTAAAAATATTCAGAAGTGGGATTAATATAAGAACGACAATTTCCTTTAATAGCTTTAATTACGGTTAGTGATTACGTTTGGAAATATAAATTTGTAGTTGTTTATTAAGAAACGCTTGCGGTTATAAAAGCTGCCTTTTCCTCAAGGGAAGCCTTTGAAGTTGGACCGAGTTTGACTCTGCTCAATATTAGTGTTTCCAAATTTTGTTATGATGCGACGTCATGTTAAGAGAAAACATTGATAATTACCCGCATTTAAGCAGTATACTTATTCCCAAACAAATATCATCATCTGGCTGGCTTCATTTAAACATTAGCAACTCATAAACCGACAAAAAAAAATGTCCAAATTCATTCGTTCGCGACAACCATTATTCGATTAATTAGGACGGGTTATCTCATATTTCTACTTACCGTTTTATATTTTGAACAATAACAAATCTATTAATGTCACGGAACATTTAATGGGTGTCACCTAGATCGCTCGAACTCTAAACAGCCTGATTTCATTTATTAAATTAATCATTTCGCACTCGGAAAACTGACAGTCAGTGGATATCAGAGAACAGAATAAATTTCCTCAATATATCAGAGCTCGATTAACGCGTTATAATTCAACGTATGTGTCCGCCGGTTAATGGATGTCCAACTATTTGATAAATTCATAATTTTTTTATTTATACCCTGTTTTGATAATTTAAAGTTACATATGACAAAATCGTAACTAATTAACGCGACAATAGGGACTTTTTGGGACACTGGTCGAATGGTAACTAATCACCATTAGTGCCGTTACGAATCAATTCCGTTGTGGTAGTGGTAATATTTTAAAGATAATTTTCATGGCTTATATTAAAAATGATAAAATATCATTAGCTTCTAACCTACAAAAGATACATTTTGTCATAATCTGTCAGTGACAATTTTTAACTAATCTCAAACAAGAAAAGTTGAATGAAGCGAAGAGATATCTCTCTGAGCGAATTGTTTCTTTCTTGGAGAGATTGGCACCCAAACCTGATGTCTTCGTTCCATATTTCAATTCTGACCAAACTGGTCAAATTTTTGCTGCAATAATAATTGCATTTTGGTGTTGAACAGACTGTGCAAAACCTCAAAAAATTGTATTCTTTTATTGACAATTTCGTTTTCATTCTAGTAGGCTCTGAATATTATTTGCTTTTTTTTTTCTTTATATTACACTAAACTTTAATTTGGAACATATTAAACACTATAGGACAGTAACAGTTTTTATAAAAATAAAAATGCAAAATTAGTATATGACAAAAGCATTTTTCTTTAAACTTCGGCAATTAAAATGATTTTTTTTCCTATGAACTGTCATGGAAAACCTGGTTTCGCTATTGCCTTTGTCGTAGATAAATCCCTATCCAGAACTCGCCTTTTGTTAATCGATTATTAATTATTTGAATAATTAAATTAAATGAAGTAAAGATTCTCACTTAAATATTTAGGAAATTTTTTTTTGAACAGAATTACAGTTCGATCTGCTTATCGTATTGGATAACAAGCAAAAAATAGCCCGAATCTTTATGATCGAAGCAATTTCCTCTTGTATGATGGCACCCGACCAAGTTGTAAATATTTACCAAATTGTCAAGTGCTAAACGATATTTTCTTTTATTAACAATTACTATGTTTACGTCGTTCATATCACCTGCTGAATCAGAAAAGCAATCTATCAACGGTTATAGTTCGGGCATATAACTTCTTAAATAAATATAATGAGTGTCCTATTTTTCTCGCAGTGATTTAATAATAATAATAGTCTTTATTAAGATTACATGGGCGAAATCTGGCCTTAAAGCCACTCACACTTAACCCATATCTAATTACAATGTAGTAAGTAAAAGTAAACATAAAACTATAACAATAATTAAGTAAAAGAAAGCATAGTTCTCTGTAACGGCATAGTGAACGTGGCTCGGTGTCTTAAATTCAGGTCATGAATTGATTTCATAAATACTAATTTGTCATCCAAATATTTAGGAATGCTGAAATTTGTCACACGTTTTAAAGACCATAGAAAGTTGTATTTGAAAATAATTTTTATTTTGAACGAATTTATTTTTTGAATGCTCCGGATTAATTTTGCGTAAGTTAGAAATAAATATTCTGAATTTTCTGTAGCCGATAAGAGGTTACGGTGTGTAAGCAGGGGTAATATACAATATTGCAGTAAGACAAGCGAGAGACAACATACTCTTACATAAATGTATTTTCATGTCACACCATAATATATCTTTATTTGAATACAGCAATCTCAAAGTTATATAACACTGTTTGAAGACATGCCAGACATTATCCAAAATAGTATATTATGCAACAAGAGCGGTAAACGGCATTTGACCCGCGAGTTTATTTGACACGAGCGGAGCGCAGCGGAGCGAGTGTTAAATAAACGAGTGACTTAAAAAGTTTACCGAATGTGTTGCATATTATACTTTTTCTACGACCGTCATGAAAAAATCACAATCATAACAACATATTACGGGGTTACTAAATTTCGAAAAATTCAATAAAAATATTTATTGTTACCATTAAATCTATTCGTTTATGGTTCCAATCGGTTCTGCTATAGCTGTCTCTTTTTAACTGTGTTTAAATTCTACTTGAAGGGGCTTTCTACAATATACAAGAAGAAGATAAGGTAGTGTTTGTCGTTGGGATTGGCATAGTGTTATTTAAATTTTGTAAATTTCGTTTTTATTAATTTGTTTTGTACATTCGTGTGTTTTATCCTTTTGATTAGTGGTATTTTCTTATGGATGGTGGTTTTTTGACATGATACATTTTAATTTGTTTTCAATTTCTCTTTTACTTGTTACTTATGTCTTTTCTCACTTGCAAAGGCTCATTTCTTTTTGTAAAACCCTGTATAATTTTTACGTGAAAAAGATCCTCTTATTAGAAACCACTTGTTTTCGCAATATTTTGGTTTGGAGCGACTATTATGAATTTATTTTTTTTTGTACGGGAATCCCAGTGAAATAAAAAGTGTTTGAATTGAAATTTCAATGTTGCTCTTGGCCAGCTGGATGTGGCATGACTGTTTTCAGGTTTTAAGTTGATTTTGAATAATACGTTATTTTTTCGTAATATTCTGCTCGTAAAAATGTCATATCAGTACATTTGGCAGCCTATTTGGCAAATTTTCAGCGATTTGCCTCGCGGAAGTCAATAATCGTGACCTGTTGTTTTTCTTTATAAAATACTTTCGCGAGATTTATTTTTAGTTTACTTTGATATACACCCATTCATTATCCAAAATAAACCGAAACCATTGCGAAAACGGGGGCAGAAATGCCGAACCAGTTAAATAAATTATTTCATTGATCGGCAAAACCCGGGTTTATTTTTAAACCCGCTTTTGTTTGTTGTTTTACAAGAACTGTTAATTAATCAGTCGGTAGATAATTAATAAACCTAAACAATGCAGCGATTTGTTTTCTTGTATTCTTCGGGTACTAAATCAAGTTTCTATCTTCGTTATCTGCTAGATTATTTTTGCCGAGACTTTAACGAAGTTAATTGCATGATGTTTTACTATTAAAATTAATCGTTTTTCTATATACACTACATACACCATTATTTATCGAAAAGAACGATTAAAACAGATGGAAGTGAAATCGTTG